GGGTTAACCAAAGCGAGTACAATCCCTGAAGCCCCAAACCCTGAACAACGCATTGGTTTGCATGTATTTCCCTTTTTTGTTTCCATTTGATTTTGCGTGAACCCCCCCCTAGCGATCTGTATCACAGTTACCCAGATAGTAGATACCCAACATAGGGGGACCTCAATATAGTCCCCAAAATGCTACAATCCGTTTTTAGGGGAACCCCAAAAAAGGTACCCCTAGCTTTGAGAAAGGCCTCTTTCTACCTCTATAAAAACTCTACATCCCTTCTGAAGTACACCGAATGTTTGGTGAAATCCATATGCATTTCGCCACAGCATGCCATGGTGGAATGGAGATGTATTTTTTCGAGGTCGAGGCGCCAAGCCCAAAACCTTAAATGAGCATAGTCTAAACTCCTCAAGGGGCTTAAACAGGCGAATATCATAGGGGTGATCAAGGGGCATGCTTTAGACAATAGGTCAAATAGTCTTCCTGAAGTGGTTAGAAGTTAGAAGACACTTTGGGAGTGCGCAGAGTGTATTTTTGGGGGGCACCACTTCACGATCTTACATGTGGATAGTATCAACTTAGGTATGGATGCCATTCAGGTGTCAGCTATGTACTTAAAGATGACAAGATACCGTCTGAAAGAAAAGAGTTGCTCCTGCTGAGCCTAGCATGCCAACACCCGTTGAGGAATCAACAAAGATTCGCATGACCTCTGTGATGTCCTGGTTTCTCAGAACAACCCCCGAAAAATCCAAAAGGTTGACGGCCCTCTCAACCACTGTATCCGTTGAACGGAGCCTTTGTTGTGATTCCCCCGTTTATTGCTAGGATACCCGAAACCCTAAACCCACAAACCCAAATGTAAGCCTCGTTCATGTCCCATCGGGTGTTTTGGCAGAAAGCTGGCAGCGAGCTGTTTTCACCGCAGCAAGCAGACAGCTGCAGCAAAGACATCACGCCCCGCAAGAAGAAACAGATTGAGCTTACATAAGGCAGTTTCCCCAAAACAAGCGGACCCCAATGTAGACCCTAATATAGTATAATCCTTATGATGGGGACCCCCAAAAAGGTAGCCCTAAGTTTGGGAAATCCCGCGTGGTGGATCAGGGTATGGCTGCTTTTGGTGGCGTTTTGTCATGGGCGTTATGATGTTAAGGTTATGTACCCAGGAGGGCCGATGACCTACTGGTACTTACAGGGGAGTGGGGGAGTGAATATAGGTTCCATTCTGGTTGTATATATGGGGATTGTATAGTGATTATTATACGGATCCATCCACTCGCCCACTCTCCCTTAAGCACCAATAAGATGTCTCCCTTAAGCACCAATAAGATGAATCTGTGTTGAGCTCACTGCTCAGCGTTTTAGGTTGATTCAGAGCGTTGGGGGTTATGTGGACAGCTCACAGTTTTCCAAAAGTAGGTGCCCCCACTTGTTCCCCGAAACAGAGGTTGTTTATCCTTATTACAGGAACCCTCCAAAAGGGAGCCCTGTTTTTGGAAACTCCCATGTAGGACTTCGGTTCAGCCAGGATCCTGCAACTGAGAAGGGGCATCACATTCCTCGCATTCCCTGTTTCTATTCAGATGGAAACCTTAACAAGCTAAACTATAGCATCCTCTTTGGCGTCTAACTAGTAGCTATCAGGAATGACCTAGCAGGCTCGACACCTAGGCCCGTGACTCGTCATTTACGCGAGACTCGAGGGAAATCATACCTGTGTCTACCTTTGCAAAGTGCAAGTTGCATGGTATTTGAGGGCGTCACTGGCAGTAACGCGCCCAGATTCTGATTGTTAGCATTCTACAATCACAAAGTCCCGTTTGTGTGTCCATGGCAAAGGGCCGGCCTCTAAATCATGGAACTGCAGTTGTAAGTAGTTAGACATGTCAAGCCTGCTTTCAAGACGGATGCGGTAGGCTGTCAAAATTGTGGTTTTCTTTTGGGTCCCTAGAATAATGCAGCCCCTCATCTAGATGGGATGGGTTCTTCGTGAAGGTCGCAGAGCACAGCTTGCCTAAAACCTTGATTTCTCTACAATTTGAGGTGGAGCCTCAAACCCCTAAACCCGAAACCCTAAGCCCATCATCTCCAAGATCTCCACCCAAGCCCTCAAACCTTGTAGCTGACATCCGAACTCAATCTCTCCTCCGGTTTTCAGCCATGTGACAGTTCTGGCAAGTAGCTTCATTTAGAAGATGTGTCTTGGCATCTTTTAGGAGGACTCCAAACCCTGCAATAGTGGTATATTCCTATTGAGGACCCTAATTTACCTAATATACTCCTTATTATGACTGAGAGTCACTATTACTGGGTGGGGGTCTACCTAAGATATGTCATGGTATCCTTCGTGTAAGAAGACCTGAAAGCTCACGTGAGACTTTGCTTGGTCGCTGTTAAGGAATTTAATTTAAGTTGCTGTCTTGGGGAAGCCATATAAATTACTAGAAATACCCATTATGGCAACTTAAACCCTAAACCCTTAACCTAAAACCCTCAATACCTACACCCATATTATGGCAACTTAATTTAAATGCCTTATCAGCAACCTAGCTTACTTTGAGGAATCCCCTTTTCTGCAATGCTGACAATCAGCGAGGGAGGCAACCTTGTCCCGCAAGGCCTCAACTGGTCTGTCAAACTTGGGGTTTAAGTTTTTTTGGGCTTAGGGTTTAGGGATCATGAGGGGGCTACATGCGTTTAGGGTTTAGTGGTTTTGCGTTAAGCTGCAAAGGTTGTGTGCTGTCAGCTTTATCCACCCTCTAGGTAGGCCACAGGCACAGTTAGAGATCTCTTGCCTTTTCAAGCATGTTTTGCTAATCAGCCAAGGAATTGGGTTAGTTGCGCATGCCAGTGGTTAAGATATACAGCTGATTTTATAGCATGCTGCGTACCCCAAAGTCTATTCTAATCATTCAGGCCACCACGTTAAGGGTTTGGACGCATCCCAATCAGTTCCATTCATGTCTTCGCGCTGAACTCCTTGTCGAGCTTTCCACTTGAGTAGTTCATCTCAAGAAAGACCAGTAGGATGACAAACCCTCCCCTTCATCCTCTGACAGGTTCGGGGTTTAGGGTTTTTGGTTTAGGGGCTTAGAATTTAGGGTTCAGGGTTTAGAGCTTAACTTTCAGAATACGGAACCTTTCAGGACCACCGCTGACTTGAAGAACCTGTCCTGGTGTACAAGGTAACTTTCCTTCCAGCAATCGCCCATAAATCCTACACTTTAGATCCTACATATAAACCTTGAACCCTAAACCCTAAACCCTAAACCCCAAATCCTAAACCAACACCATTAGGCTAAAGTCAAGACGTGGGGTCAGATGCTAGCTTCAACCCTCTGCGGGCCTTCAGGTCTCTTTGAAAGGGGTTCCCCAGGTATTGTGTGATTATGTAGGGACATCTAGGGTCTGTAGGAAGAATGGACAACCACATGGAAAAGAGCATGGAAAATGACATGTCAACTGGGTTGATATAGAGATCTGCAGGGATAACAACCTAGATGATTGTCCTAGATTCCTTGTATAGTTATGGTTTAGGGTACCTCCAATAGACCTTAGGATGATATTGATAGTTATTTAGACACCTGTGCCACGCTCTAGACCTCAACCCTGAACCATTGGGTCCTGACTGTGGCTTTTGGAGAACTTTGCTAGCAACATGCTTGCACAGAAAAGGTGCTAAGGAATGCTTCAAAAACACAATCCTGAACCGACCTAAAAGCTAGATACCCTAGATCCCGAACCCTCAAGGCATACCATGAAATAGGATACTACTGCACATTTTACAGTTCAGCAGCGTTCGGCAGCTGAGCGAGGTAGCAACTTGTCCAGCAACTGTCAGCTGTTGGATATAGTTGCACAAACGCATAAGATCTGGCTAGTAACCATGTAAGGCTCAATAGAATGCCCAATCTCGAAACCCTACCGGTAGGTGGGTGACGAAAGGAATTATGAGTCCCTTAATTCAGGTTGGCCTAGTTATAACCTGCTTTTTACCCTGGGCACTGAGTCCCCTGACTTTCTAAGTAACTTCCTAAATCCCAAACCCTAATATATGTATATGTATATACCGTATTATTTTACGATATAGTAGCTTCCATTTTCTTTTCCATTATCCCAATATATCCCCTATAACCTCCTATAGAACCCCCTGAGTGCCAGAGGCATCGGCGAGCGCGGGCGTCGAATGAAGGCCGAGCTGCAAGGTCTTCTGGGCTTTGGGGCTTTGTAAACGTATGGGCTGTCATAAGCCGCCAAGAAGCAGCTCAAAGTGTTTTTTGGGGGTTCCAGGGCAGAAGGAATACCCTAGGAAACCCCAGGGATAAATGGAAGGGGCGGGTGTCATGAGGATTCCTGAAGATATCCCTTTCTTACGTATGTCGGTCGAGAGAAGATAGTGTCATAGCGCAATGCCCTGAATGTGCATAAGAATGAACATCTGATATATGGCATAGTGTGAATTTGTTCTAGTTTTCGTGACGAGCAGAAATGGCGTCCTTGCGGCCTCATGTGCCAAAGCTTATTGTCTCTGAAATCCAGCACCATTCGAAAGAGGTGAAGGCATAAAACCATCCAAAGCCTGGAGCTTCAAGAGGCTCCAGCGTCAGGACTCAGGACTGCAGGCTTATGAGCCACAAAGCTTCAACCTACTGCCCTAATTCCCTGATTGGCATCAGGCAGCTGACAGAAGCTCTCGGCGTTCGGCAGCCCAGAGGTGAGAAGGTGCCGGCGACTGCTTTATCGGGCAACTAGTCCGCTGAGATAAGGTTACCTTGCCACAAGCTAGCAATGTCCAGCTGCAGTGATTTGATTAGGCAGAGCACACTCGACGTCTAGGCTGCAAATTTGCCTGGATCTGCGAACTAGTGCTTGGTGGCTGCATGTTTGCTCTTGGTGACCCGACCCAACAGACGTGTTTCAGACTCTTTGGCCGGGAGTTTCCACGGCACAAGCCCTTGCATCCAGCTGCCCACAGTAACTCCCCCCAGCCATCAGTTGCCGCCATGCAGACCGCGAGCGTTCCTTCGTGGTCCATTCTGGGTTTCTTCAGTTCGGCATCCGGAGTCCGGAGGCCGGCCACGTCGGAGCCACAGGCAGCGGACGAGGCTGCTGTACAGCAAGCAGAGCCTGGACCTCAAGTTGAGGAAATGCACTGGCTTGATGAAAACGCGGAGTCGGAGGCCCCCGACGACGAGGAGCCGGCCACTGAACAGCAAGAAGAGCCCGGATCGCAAGAGGAGCAAGACGAGGCCGTGGAGTGGGAAGCGCCCAGCGATGAAGTCCATGCCAGCGAGGGACTTCAGCCCGTCGAGGAGGTGTTCCAAAACCAGCCTTGGGAGGAGGAGCACGCTGTTCTTGTATATTCGCATCCACAGATGGGGGGCATGCTGCAAAAGCTGCGAACCTGCATGGATGCGGAAGACTATGCCTGCATCATGCACCAGAAGGCCATGGTTGACCTCCCTCACGTCAGTGCCATGCAGGCCAGGGAGCAGATCGCGGAGCTTGACACAGAGATCTTGGTCCAGGAGCCGTCGGCCGACATGCAACCTCATGGGCTGATCGAGTTGGAGCGTTTCCGAAAGGAACTAGAAAAGCAGGTTGCTGAAAACCGGGATTTCTTCGGTCCGTCTGGTGCAGAACTTCATGAAGGTTTGCGCCAGATCCTGGAAGCCCACGAGCAAGGCTGCTATGGCAGGGAGGACGTCTTCATTCAAGGCGCCCTCAGCGAGAACGTTCGCGAGGTTTTTCATCATATTCTTAGCGACAATAGCTGCCGCAATGTGCTCTTTAACGGCTACCGAGACAAGATCAACGAGCTCACCCAGAATATCCGTGATGATTCCCAGACCCTCTCCGAGAATGCGCTTTTGCCGGAACGTGCTGCCATCGAGGAAAGCCGGGCACAGTCCGTGTACGAGCTCTACAACCAACACCGTCAACAGGAGGAGGCCGTGCTGAAGAAGAGCGAGGTGCCAGCAATCCTGGAAAGGCATCTCTCAAGCTTCAAGCAGAAGGAGGCACAGGAGCGGGAGCAGCTTGTGGCATTGCAGCAGCAGCACGAGCGTCTCGCAGCTGACTGCATGACGCTGCGAGGCAAACAGCGCCAAAAGCTGCACACCACCGAGGATCACTGCCGGGTCAAGGAGGCGGATGCCGAGGCAGGGACGCCATGAAAGCATTTGCGGGGCTCTGAGTATTGGGGTACCATTTTGGGGGTCCCCATAATAAGGCTTATAGTTATAGTTCTATGATATTATTCTGGAGTCTATATATTGGGCTCCCCCTACTTATGGAAACTACCATCTGAAGAATCCCACCAGCATGCTCTTAATGCTCTTAGTCCACATGCCATGTCAAATAGAGAGGAGCATGCTCCCTGTCAGGCACGAGGCCGAAAGCTTGAGGCCGAGTTGCTGGCCGAGCTCGACATCTTCCAAGAGGTCTTCACAAGGATTCAGGCATGGATTTCTCAAAGGCATGTGCCCTTTAACCTTGGTAGGGTCCCTAGAATGGGAACTACTAAGTTTGCTTGGTGGAAAAAAGGGCACTTTAGTTTTAGAGAAATGCGCAGGACAAGCTCCGACGCATTCGTGACGAGAAGGTCAGGGCCCGGCACCACATGCTCCTTCGGATTGAGGTCCGCCAACTGCTGGAGGTAGCCATGCGCAAGCAGAAGGATCAGGCAGCCGTGCATGAGCAGAAGGCTGAAAGGTATTGCAAGGGGCAGGCCGTCCTGTCGCATTTTGCGGCTTGGATCGAGAAATCTTACGGCTTCCTGGAGACCACGTTCTGCGACAAACGGGCTCAGCTCGCCCAGGAGCTCCCCGAGCACAGGCGCAACATCAATGCTATGTGCTTCCTCGCGGAGAAGGACTTGGAGCGCCGGAAACAGGAGCTGGTGGAGGCCATGAGGGTGCAGGAAAACAAGATGAAGAAAAAATTCACCGATGCCGCGGCCATCGAACGCATCCCTGGGCAGCGCGAAGAGGCCTTGGCCAAGAAGAAAAAGGGCGAAGCGTTGAAGGAGCAGCTAGACAACATGCAGGTGGCCTATACTCAGTTGGACCAGCAACTCCTACAGCTGAAGACCCGACCGAAGCTCCAGGAGCAGCTGGCCATCAACGGTCCGGGCACTCGCGCAAGTGGTGCCAACAGCACCGCGGAAAGAGAGGCCGCCAGCAGATGGGCAAGCAGCTTTTTCTACAACAGCGCTGCGCCAGCCCCATGGGAGACGCCCCCTGCTCTCGAGAACCATCGAAGCAAACGCCGCGTGATGCAGATCCTGGATTCCTTTCTGGGCCGCAACGCTGCATCGCCGGCAGAGGAGGGCCGTCGCGTGCGCCAGCGTCTTGCGCTGCAAGCGTGATGCCGCTGTAGCAGCAGCCTGCCAGTGGCAGTGTTGAAGCATGCGAAAGCATCATCAAGTTTTGCTGCGGTCATTTACAGCGTGACCTGCTGCCAAAGTGTTTCCGCGTCTTCTGATAAGTGAGATGCGGTGTACAGTGCGTCTGTTCTCGCCACAATGCACAGCCTGCGCAGCACGATCCGAAAAACTGCTTGGCTTGCATCTCATCCACCTGCATTGCAACAGAAGGCCGCACCATGACATGGGGCAGGTCCAGTTCTTTCTGCTCACACAGGCGCATGCCTTGGATGCCGAAAACAAGTGCGACCGATGCCGGAGAGATCCGATAGGTGATACGTTTGAGGTCTGCTGCGCAAGTTTCATTTGACGCCTCGAAGCTGTAGATCAAATGCTTCAATGGAGGGGCAGGCAGCAGATGTTGTGCCTTTTTGTGTGGTTGCATGTGCCTGCATCAATGCGAAGGCCATGTTGCTCCAGGTCAAACAATGCATCGTGGTGTGATGGATTTTGGCTGAGTTGGGGGTGGCAAGGCTACTTGACCTCAGCTCTCACCGACGTGTCTGTTACGTCTGCATTCCTTCCCGACCCATTCCTACGGTAGATGGAGGAAATCTTGCACCACTTAAGATCTTCCATATATTTTAACAGCATAAGGCATTTAGGGTTTCGCAAGATAGCCTCCATTCACAATTTACCGTAGTACTAATCTCCGCCGAGTATGAAATTCCTCCCGCTCACATTCCTGAAATACTCGCACTTTCAAACGGGGGCACCTGTATGCCAAACAGTATAAGGATATTGCACATGTTTCTGCATTTTGTGAACACTCTGAAGCACCTAATTCCATAAGACGCTAGCCTCCATCCCTCCTCGTGCTTTCTCTACTACATTACACTGTAATATTATAGTATATCCTAGTAGTATATATTATTAGAATATATTATATCATCTTATATCGTAGTGAGCAGACCATGGTACGGCTTTCTATGTGACTGCCTGGGCTCTAAGGATAGACAAAAGAGAAGCAAGGAATCGCAAGGCAAAGTGTAGGAGGTGCTTTGAGAGGAAATGATGTATGTTTGGTATGTGCGGGGGGCTCCCTAAACTAGGGGTACGCTCTGGGGGGCCCTTATAGTGCGGATTCTAGTCTTTGGGGCTCTATATTAGGGTCGCTCTATTTACGGAAACTACCATGTGGTGGTGCCGTTGGCAGGAAGACATGTGGAATTCAAGCAAGGATTATCTGTCTTCAACTCCCAGTGGGAACTCTTTGGCTGTGAGCTCGCTTCCATCACCTTGCAATGGAGCAGCGGCCGACTGCCATCTTCTGCCCTTGGCTTGTCGCTGGCAGCGGCTTCGTCTGAGTTGCTCTTGCCCAGTCCCATCTGATGATAAGATTCTCCTCTATTATGTCATGCACATACGGAAAATCAACCATCAATAGGGAAGCGTGGGAGGACGGAGTTCTTCAAATGGATGTAAGCTTTCCGAAGTCTCGCTACGCACATGCAAAGGGATGCTTGAAGGGAGTTTGCATGGCAGGGCTTGTTGTGCCAGGTACTTTTCTTTCCTTCATTCCCACGTCCCTATGGTAAAATACGTGCCCAGACAAGTCTCAACAGAAGGTTGAGGTAGTTTTCCAAGATGGTGCTGCAACTATGCTGAGCACCTACAGTTGGGGCGTGGGCTTCAGGGCTCAAAAAATAGGGGTTAGGGCCTGGATTCTTTCCCGCTTTGACCTTGGATCCTATTCAGTTTTGGCTGTAGACACCGGCAAGGGCTTCCAAGTAATCAAGCCGATTTGGCGTTTCTCAAATCATCTCATTATGACCCCTTTATGATCCCAGTTCTCTAAGAGTACCCCATTTTGAGAAGCTCCCAGGGATAGGCTTAGGGCGCTGGATGTTGGCTCCAGGGCAGTAGGATTTAGGGTATGGATGGAAAAAGCCTAAGCAGAGGGTCTGGTGAAGTACACTTCGAACTTGAGCCCTGGACCACCTGCGAGTGCTGGTAGGACCTCCTCGGCATCATGTGGACTTTCATTTGACGGGTTGCCATCCATACATCCTGCACCAAGCTAGTTATGCATTTTGGGGTTCTTTCTTGGGGGCTGGCCAACGGTGGACCTTTGACCCCCACCGCAGAATCTAAGAAGCCCACAGCGCTTATCCTGCCTTCTTGCCCCTGAACCCTTCACATCCCTTTCCGGGAGCTTGGTAGGAGTGTACGGCAATAATTTTTAGAGCACCTATAAAAGACCACCCTAGATTCCCTCAATGTCTGCTTAGCAGAAGGCAGCTGCAGTGTGCGGGGAGTGCTGACACCCTGTGGGGCAGCACCGCGCCGCAACAGTGTCGGGTGCAGCAGGCTGAAACGGGCTGGCTGCTACGGAAATTAACCGTAACTAGGCAACGAGAATTCTATTTACCCCTCCATCCATCTGGGCGAGAATTAAGGGTACCATTTTGGCAATTTGGGGATCCTCATAGTCGGATTATTTTGCTTTGTGCGGTCTGTATTTTGGTGCACCAATTTTGGGAAAGTAACTTATTTGCTCAATTTCTATATTGTGGTAACTGCGCCAGTGACCTTCGATGCTCATTCGGGATCCAGAGTGCATGGGAGGCGTCAACACAGAGAACATGGACGCAAACTCCTGATCTTAAGTCCTAGAAGCTATTCCACAAAGTGGCAATCAGAGCAAGAGCTCTTGCACTGTCGCGAGTGTCCGAAACATAGGGTGCCTCTGTATTCCTTCAAGTGTAGCAGCATCCCACTCTATTACGATACCCCACCAAATGGGGTTCATAACTTCGACAGCTGCAGATCTGCAGCAGCTGCCGCTGCACTTGTGGCCTGCTGCACGTGGCCACGCCACACGAGGCAGGTTGTGCTTCGAGACTCGGAGGTTTTCGAGACTCGGAGGTTTTCGAAAATCAAGGGTCCCATGAAGGTGGTCCCTAAAATGAGGAATATAGTATACTGGGGGTCATATGGGGGGTACCTTAATTGTTGGGAAACCACCATGTGGGGCTTCTGGTAGAGGATCTGGGAGTTGGGAGTTACAGCTTGGGGCTTGGAACGTCGCAGCCTTTAGGCTTTAGGTTTGGGGCTTTGTTCTTGGTAGCCGACATACTTTCTAGGGATCTTTTGGTTCATAGCAAGGCCTGCAGAAAGTCTCTTGAATGTGCTCTTTTGAAAGCATGCCCGCACATGTTTTTCTGGTCCTTGAGACTAATCTATGCACGAACAACGGTGGGAGATGACAGGACTACTGATTTCCATCTGCTGCTTGCAAGAATGACTGCGCGAGAAAGAGTTCCTTGTGTTTACATACATGCAGACAAGTATATGCATACAAAGACACACGGTGCATGCGGACTTTCAGCAAGCCTAGGAAAGTCCACCGCCGATTGCTTCCTTCGATTGGAGCCCAAAAAAAGTCTGCACCGAGATCTCAGCCAGAAGAATGAAAATTAGGGAGCCCATAGGCAGACACTTACGAGGAACATGTACAGGATGCCTATAAAAGCAGTTTCGTGTGGTCATCCTGCACTTTGCAAACATCATGAATGGCCACAGTAAGAGGTGATTGTGTTATGTACCAACACAGGATGGAGCCACCATGTTTCCAAAACTTCTGTATGGGCCATCAAAATTGTAAGCACTATTCAACTGTCTTGTGCACGGGGTACGAAACTGCGTGCATCAGAGACTCTTACGTTATGCAATCAAGGCAGAGTTGTGCGATGAGCTGTGGAGATGTCCTGATCGATCCCTAAACCCTAAACCCTAAACCCTAAACCCTAAACCGCCCTAACCGCTTCAACACCGCAAAGATCCCAAACTGCAAGCCCAGGCCCCGAACTACGAGTCCAAAGCACGGACCCTTCAGCCCCAAATCGGCCTCAATGAGATATCAAAAGCCTAGAATCCGTTCGGACCTAATGTCTCAGAATTCTGAACCTTTACCTTTAGATCGCTTACTTTAATTCCCCCAACCCCCCTAATAGGAACTTTGAATGTTTCACATTATGGCGGTGGAGGGCTTAACATTTGGGGGGATTGGATTACACTCCCAGTTCTGCCATCCTTCAGGGGGTTCTGAAAACAAGCGTAGGGATAAATAGGGCTCGGAGATGGGACCTGCAAATGGAGAATCGGATGGAAAGGATACTTAATAAAATGAAAAGGAAGAATGGACAATTGAGGACTTATAGGGTGTTTGCTATAGAAGCCTGACTACTCATCATTGCCGCTGTCATCCCCCTTATATAATTTCTGAGGACTTCCCTTTGAGGGCCATGATATCCGATGATTTTGAGCACGATGCCTAGTGTTAAGATAAGGGCCTCTCGCCTCCTCTTCCTATATTAAAGGCCCCATGACACAGGAATCTTCCCTCCCCATGTGATCCTTGCTGTTACACTAAACAGCCCTACAAAGCCATGTCAGAGGTCACCACGTCCGCCAACACACACCCTGCGGAGGGCTGAGGCTGAGTCTTCGGCAGGCCATCATTTCGGAGAATCCAGGCCCTAAACCCCTAAACCCTAAACCCCTAAACCCTAGGTATCTACAAACAACAAGGCCCCAAGCGCCCTAAGCCAGTACCAGGGACCTGGTAACTGTCAGATACGTTAACCTATCCAATGCAGAGTCTTTCTAACGATGCGGATCACTGTTCCTTATTGTTTCGAACCGACAACAGGAAGCAATATGAAATAGGTTGATTCATGTTGTTAGTGCTGCTTGGTTTGCGTAATGGCTTAGTTATGGGCACTACATCATGCAGCAACAATCTTTTGCGAGATTTGCGGTTAGCCGGGTTAGGGTTGTAGGGCAAAGCGGTTTGCTTTCCGATTGAACCATACACGGGTCTGTTCGAAAAGTACGGGAAGCTGTTGCTAATCTGCGCTATACCGATGATGTGCTTATATCGCCCCTTTGACGGGGATATTCTGGGGCAGATAGAGATACATTTATGCACAGGGATGATA